AGGCGCGGGGAGGCGGGCGCAGCGCATACCGCTGTGGCGCGCGGCGGGCAGCCCACGTGTCTCCCCAAGTCGGGTCCTGAGTTCCCCCAACTCCTTTCACCACCGCGATCCAGGGCGCTTCCAGGGTCCCCTTGGCGTGCGCCCATCCCCGGCCCGCGCGAACAGGGCCCCGCACGATTCCCCGCGCTCAGTGGGACAACTTGGAGAAGCTACTTTGTCCGGGGAACCGCGCCGGTGGTTCGGAGCACTGCGCATGCGGAGCTCCAAATTCAAACAGCTGTTTCCAGAGGCTGGAGGGCGGGTGGACCGGGAGCCGCTGGGGCTAGGGGACGCTTTCTCCAGAAGGTGGCCTCTCGGGAGCCATGGTGGACCGGGGCCCTCTGCTCACCTCGGCCATCATCTTTTACCTGGCCATCGGGGCGGCGATCTTCGAGGTGCTGGAGGAACCGCACTGGAAAGAGGCTAAGAAAAACTACTCTATACAGAAAACGCATCTACTCAAGGAGTTCCCGTGTCTGGGCCAGGAGGGCCTGGACAAGGTCCTGCAGGTGAGGCGCCCTTTCCCCCCACGAACACCTGAAGCTTTAGGAGTGCTGAAAGGACGGCCCTCCCAGCTTCGGATGACCCTCAGTCCCTGTGGGTTGTCCTGGGGGAGGGGGGCGCAGGAGAGGATGTCTCATCACGGATCTGGTGGCTGGGGTCTTTCGTTCACTCGTGGACGCAGGAGTCAGCCAGGCGCGGAGACCCTTTGGAACCTAGTTTGCCCAGAGAGAAGAATTTAGGGTTGACCTCCGGGTGGCTCGGTGTGAGTGTGCGGGGACCTCCCTGCTAGGGGGAGGCTGTGGGGCGGATAAAGGCGTTTATCTTTCCTCGGAGGCGCTCCCGGAGTTTGGGAGCCGAGCCGGGCGTCTCCACCTCCCGTCTCCGGGGCCAGTGCCGCTCCCGCACGGCTTTGCTTCGGGAATGGGAGCCCGGCGAAGTTGCAGGAGGGCCCCCAGCTCCAGCCTGAGCAAAGACCCCCCTTCCCCGTAGGGCTGAGGCGGGGGGTAGGGGCTCCGCCAGGCT